TAACGGAGAGCAGATTTATTCAATGCATTTCTGATTTAAAATAATTCATTTGAATAATATTTTAATAACTCATTTCTAATAACTGATTTATGTTTATCTTTGCCATGATGACAGTAAATTATATTTGACTAGATATTTTTTCAAGACACTTCTGAACATCTTAAAGTGACATATAAAGACGTAACTGGGTTAATTAGGCTAACTAGGCAGGATAGTGTAATTAGGCAAGTTATTGTACATCAATGGTTTGTTCTGTAAACTATCGAAAAAATATATAGCTTAAAGGAGCAAATAATTTTGACCTTAAAATGGGTTTTAAAAAAATGCAAAACTGCTTTTATTCTAGCCGAAACAAAACAAATAAGACTTGCTCCAAAAGAAACAATTATATCAGACGAACTGTGAAAATTTCCTTGCTCTGTTAAATGTAAGAATATCATAAGGGGCTTATAATACTGACTTCAACTGTATAACATTTTGTAGAAATGTTGTATTTTTTTGTGCAAGTTTTTGCATGAGTTTAAATGTATTATCTTTCCTATTTTAAAGTTGTTCTGTGACTAAAATATTATTTTAATAAATATATCTGTTTAATAAATCTGTTTTGTTCAAATGCACTAATATATATTACTCATAATTGCTTAGAAATGGATAAAAATATTCATTGTCAAAATGGGGTGCACTCACTGTACATCAGAGAAACAAAGAAACATGGATAAGTGTGAAGAAATAACATCCATGTTTGTTAATAAAACAATGTAAAAAGAGCCTTCCTGTGGTACAAACACCTGAAGCATCACACAGATAGAAACACCTCAGTGTGCAAGAGCTGAATTTACTGATTTTTACAACTTTTACATAATACACACGTGTAAAAGTGGCCGTCTTGCTGAGTGTTGATGTAAACAGTCTAAACAAATCTGAAGTGAAAGCAATTCTCCTTGTATATTGTCATGTATTTTGTCTTAAAGTGAGCAGCAGCCTAATAATACACAGTTTATGCTGTTTTATTAGAGAAAGAACACACACACAGACACAAACACATAAACATTCACTGCTTTGGGTTGAATATGGTAATACATTTATTAACATATGTAGAATGTATTTGAATGTACATGTGTGTGTGCCTCCATGTCTTAAACTTTGAAAACCCCTTGATCCATTACATTTTATCATTACTTTTTCATGCAGAGGATTCAGTTTTTTTTGTATCCACACACTGAAAATAATGTGTTCACTGATTATTTTTACAAATATCAATTGCATTTGTATTAAATCTAATCACTGAACTGAATCAATAATTGAATGAAATCAAGAGGTTGCAAATCGATAATGAAGAAAATGTTCACTCTGCTTATTTGTGACATGTTCATGTCATCAATGGTAGCACATGAAAGCTCAGGCGTACGAAATTCATTTTCCTCCTAAATGAGTGTTTACTGTCATTTAGGCTGAGAAAAAGCAGAACACGTCAGGTTTGGGAAGTGTTCTAGGTTATTAGCTCTTTGATCATAATATTGGAGTGCTCTTTTTGCGTTCAGAGTAAATGCTTTCTCTCTGTGTGATGATCTGAACAATTATGCAGCGCTAGAAAGGCAGGTTGAAGATTATTTATTGAATCAAACATAATTGAATTCTTTCTGAAGTGCTCAGATCTCAGAGGATTTTTCTTGTCTGGCAGAATCATGTCTATACACACATTTAGATTATACACTAAAAGTTAAGATTTTTTTTAAAGAAAATTATAGTTTTATTCAGCAAATATACATTAATTTGATCAAAAGTGACAGTAAAGAAATTCGTAATGTTACAAAAACTCACATTAATTCTATTTGAACTATGAATGCATAAAATAATACTGTGAAAATGCAGCAGTTTAAACTTTAGAAAGAATACATACAGTTGAAGTCAGAATTATTAGCCCCCTTAGAATTTCTTTCTTCTATTTTAAATATTTTCCAATATGTTTAACAGAGCAAGGAATTTTTCACAGTATGTCAGATAATATTTTTTTTCTTCTGGAAGTCTTATTTCTTTTATTTAGACTATAATAAAAGCAGTTTTTAAAAAATTTTAAACACCATTTTAGGGACAAAATTATTAGCCTCTTTAAGCTATATTTTTTCACAACTGTCTACAGAATAAACCATCATTATACAATAACTTGCCTAATTATGATGACTTTTTAGCGCAATAGCCCAAATACATGTCATAGAATATTAATATTAATAATCATAATTTAAATAATGAAATTATATAACCTATCCCAATCCTGACATAGCTGCGTTTAAATAATAACTGAAGACGTCACTTTAATGCATTCGCACGTTATGTTAAATTATTTTAAATTAGACGCCCCATCCATAACCAACCTTAAATCATACCTGAACACTGTTTAACAGTTCCATGTAAACTGTTTTGTGTGACATTCTCGTAAAATCTCTCTGCTTTTGAATATCTTTGTTCGTAATTGTTCTTAGCCCTGTCAATGTTTATCTATTTTGTATTATTATAATATTTAATTTCCTGTTTCTCTTACGTTTATATTCTTTAGCTGTCAATATAATACTTCGCGTCTATGGAAGAAAGAGTCAATAAAGATAGACAATGTATAACATCATATTCATCAAAAGACGGTTTATGTGCAAGTAACCGCACCGGTCCGAGCAGGGAGCGAGCCGGCATGGGAGACAAGCTCCGATAAGATTGCAGAACAACGTCTGTCACTAGGCAGTCCGAGAACTGAGATTTACGCGATCACCAGCTGGCTTCCGTTACATAAGGGCAAATATAGATGACTAAAACCTCATTTACTCATTTTACTCATACTTTTTATCATTTACAATGTCCAAAACATTAATATTAATATTAAATGCTACTTTTGTGCCTTTAATAGCTTTTTTCTCGCCTGTTTACTGGGTTAAAAATCTTACATTCCATCTCCACCTGCTGGTGAAAGCTAGAGCAGCTGGCGATCTTCAATCTGCAATGTATTGCTTTTCCTGCAGTTCCCGGATGTAATGTTGAATTTTAACAGTCGAAGTTGATCCACTGAATTTATGGAAGCGAAAATTTGAACTGAAATAAAATGAACTGAAAATGACCTTTTGAATATTATACATCGTATTTTTAAAGGGTATTGAATATTTTGTAAGTGAAATCTGAAAATTGAATATGAATTATTGAATTTTTAAGTATGAAAACGTGTTTGAAATATTTTTCGTTGAAATATTCAAAGCTTAAATATACAGATATGTTAAATTTCAGGACCTACAAATACAAACCCTGTAATTCAAGTCATTAAAATGCAAGAACTTGTTAATACGGTGTATTATTTTTTCAGTTTGTGATATTCAACAAGCTTTTTAATTCAAGACTTTAGGCATTGATTTTGTTCCATACTAATTACCCTTACCTGCCTTGTTAACCTAATTAACCTAGTTAAGCCTTTAAATGTCACTTTAAGCTGTATAGAAGTGTCTTGAAAATATCTAGTCAAATATTATTTACTGTCATAATGGCAAAGATCAAATAAATTAGTTATTAGAAATTAGTTGTTAAAACTTTTATGTTTAGAAATGTGTTGAACAAATCTTCTCTCCGATAAACAGAAATTGGGGAAAAAATAAACAAGCAGTCTAATAAATCAGGGGGGCTAATAATTCTGACTATAACAGTATATAGACAGAATTAAAAATATGCCTTAAGCACCAAATCAGCATATTAAAATGATTTCTGAAAGGATATGTGACACCTAAGACTGCAGTTATGATGTTGAAAAGTCAGCTTTGTCAGTACAAATAAATATATGAATTATTATATAACAAATTACATTTATAATTTAATCAAACAATTGTGTTTTGAATAGATTCTAAGTAAGGAATAATCTGAATTGAATTTTAAAATCATTTTAAAAGCTCATAGTACTGTTCATATTATTATTATTTTTCCCAAAACATTTCTCAGGTTTTTGTCCTCAAAATTCTTTTGTAAATAACACTTAATCCTTTCATCCAGAGCCTTAGCCGCTAATTCATTAGTGTAATTTTAGCAATTGTAATAAACTTAACGTGAGCCATTAATATGCAAACCAATGCAGTTATCAGAGATAGAAGAAAAAGACAATATGTATTTCAACAATTAATACAGATTAAATTTATAGGAAAATCTACATAAGGAAACAAAAATGGTAACACTTTATTTTGATGGTCCATTTGAGTATTAGTGGACTGTCTGCTTATTATCTGTTGATACTGCTCGATCAACAGACATTTAACTGACTATAAGAAACTTTGCAAGTACATGTCAACTTACACAAACCCCTAATCTCAACCCTAACCCCAACCTTAATTGAAATCTAATGAGAATTAGTTGGCAGATGCAATGTAACTTAAATTCAACAAATGGACCATCAAAATAAAGTGACCACAAAAATGGGCATTTTAACCTATTGTTTAATATGGTTATTTGTTTGGTCAGTTTCTTTGTGGGGTTTGATTCTTTTACTTTTTTAGGCAGTAAACATTGAAACTTGCTTTGTTAGTAGTAATAATAGTAATAGTAACTAATCACAATAAAGGGTTTCAATATTTCACAATGTTACTGTATTTTTGTTTTACCAAATAGACAAAGCCTAATACTACAAGTATGCATATTTAAAATCATCAAAAAATAATAAATACAAAAAAAGAATACTCAACCACATCATGCATACTTAAACATGTGTCTTTCAAAAAGAAATTGCCAATTTTGAATATGAAAGTAATGAAGGGAGAATTATAAGACGTGAAAAGATTGCCAAGCCAGTTTGTTTATCATTAAACACACACACACACGCACGCACGCACGCACACACACACACACACACACACACAGACACAGACACACACGCACGCACGCACGCAGACACAGACACACAAGGAGCACATGCTGCAAGCTGCTATCCAAACTGCACACATTTTCTTAATGCACATGTTAGAATGAATAAACGTTTTGCTTACCATAAATTCCTGTTGATATGCATGGAAAGGCCTGTAATAGGATAGAGAAAAAACAAAACAAAATGTAAGCAAACTAACAAAAAAACAAAGCAAACTGCAGTTAAATGTTCCCCTGTTACGATTATTGGCATCCTCCATTATTTAGTTATTAGTTATTGAGTCATTATTATTCACCATTGTTATTGATCAGATCGCTTCATCAGAGCGATTCATCAGATCGCTCAACAATAAGTCTCTTTTAGTCAATGATTTTATCAACACAAATTGCCTTGATTTTATGCTTTTAACTGAAACTTGGCTAGATGACAGTTGTAGCGCAGCAGTTCTGAATGAAGCAGCTCCTTTAAACTTTGACTTTTTGGGTGTTTGCAGAGCTAATAGGAGAGGTGGAGGCATCGCTGCCCTGTTTAAAGATGACTATGAATGTAAACAAGTGTCATTTGGTGACTATCTGTCTTTTGAATATCTGAGTATAGCACTAAAAGGTGCTCCACGCATCTTACTAATCATTATCTACAGACCTCCAAAATATTCTCCAGCTTTTATTGAGGATTTTACAGAGCTGTTATCAATAGTAACCTCTGAATTTGATTATTTTAGTATTGCTGGGGATTTTAATATTCACATTGATAATCCAGAAATCAATGCTGTAAAAGAACTGATGACTGTTTTTAACACTTTTGATCTGACTCAGCATGTTCAAGGACCCACACACAATCATGGACACACTCTTGATCTACTTATAACTAAGGGTTTACACATTTCATCAACTGTTGTTAAGGATGTGGCACTATCTGATCATTTCTGTATCTTTTTTGATATATTGATCACTCCAGCTATTAAAGACAGATCAGTCTCTGTCAGAAAGAGATGCATAAATGAGAACACTAGTGAGCAGTTTATGAAGGCCATATCACTAGCACCAAGTATATCTGCAGATTCTGTTGATTCTCTCCTTGATTTATTCAATTCGAAAATTGAGAATGTCATAAATGACATCGCTCCTGTTAAAGTCAAGAAGATGACTGGCAGGCAAAAGGGATCTTGGACAAGGTCACCGAAAGTACAAATGATGAAAAGACAGTGCAGAAAAGCTGAGCGTATGTGGAGAAAAACGAAACTAGTAGTCCATTATAACATCTATAAAGACAGTCTTCATGCCTTTAATATGGAACTAAACACTGCTAGACAGACTTTCTTTTCAAGCCTTATAAACAGCAACTTAAATAATGCTCGCACACTCTTTGCAACGATAGAGAGACTCACAAACCCCCCCAGTCAGATTCCCAGTGAGCTCCTCTCTGAAAGCAAATGTAATGAGTTTGCTCATTTCTTCACTGATAAGATTAATAATATCAGAAAGGCAATCAGCTCATCCAATCAACCAAGTTGTGTCGATATCAAACAAGCTCAACCACAACTTAAGAAATCAGACACTATGTCTGATTTCATGGCAATTAACAGCAAAATCTTAGATGAGACTGTGCAAGTTATGAAAACATCAACCTGCAGTCTTGACACGCTCCCCACATCATTCTTCAAAACGGTGTTTACATGTTTAGAAATGGATCTTCTTAAAGTGGTAAATGCTTCACTTCTATCAGGGGTTTTTCCAACCTCACTTAAAACTGCAGTTGTTAAACCCCTCTTGAAGAAGAGCAACCTGGATAACACCCTATTGAGCAATTACAGGCCAATCTCAAATCTCCCCTTCATTGGCAAAATCATTGAAAAAGTTGTTTTTAACCAGGTTAACAAGTTCTTAAACTTCAGGGGGTGTTTAGACAATTTTCAATCGGGGTTCAGAGCACATCACAGTACAGAGAGCGCTCTTATAAAGATAATCAATGATATACGCCTAAATACAGATTCAGGTAAAATAACAGTGCTGGTATTGTTGGATCTCAGTGCTGCATTTGACACTGTCGATCACAGCATACTTCTGGATAGGCTGGAAAACTGGGTCGGGCTATCTGGCACGGTCCTCAAATGGTTTAGATCTTACCTAGAAGGTAGAGGTTACCATGTCAGTATAGGTGACCATAGGTCGAGGTGGACACCCATGACGTGTGGAGTCCCACAAGGCTCGATTCTTGCACCTCTCCTGTTCAACCTTTACATGCTCCCTCTAAGCCAAATAATGAGAAAGAACCAAATCTCCTACCACAGCTATGCTGATGACACTCAGATCTACCTAGCCTTACTGCCTAATGACTACAGCCCCATTGACACCCTCTGCCAATGCATTGATGAAATGAGCAATTGGATGTGCCAAAACTTTCTTCAGTTAAACAAAGAGAAAACTGAAATTATTGTGTTTGGAAACAAAGATGAGGTTCTCAAGGTAAATGCGTACCTTGACACTAAAGGTCAAACGACAAAAAATAAGGTCAAGAATCTTGGTGTGACTCTGGAGTCAGATCTGAGTTTCAACAGTCATGTCAAAGCAGTCAGTAAATCAGCATACTATCATCTCAAAAACATAGCAAGAATCAGATGCTTTGTTTCTAGTGAAGATTTAGAAAAACTTGTTCATGCTTTTATCAGCAGCAGGGTGGATTACTGTAATGGACTCCTCACTGGCCTTCCTAAAAAGACAGTCAGACAGTTGCAGCTCATCCAGAACGCTGCAGCCAGAATTCTAACCAGAACCAGAAAATCAGAGCACATCACACCTGTCCTCAGGTCTTTACACTGGCTGCCAGTTACATTCAGAATAGATTTTAAAGTATTATTACTGGTCTATAAATCACTAAATGGCCTAGGACCTAAATACATCACAGATATGCTCACTCAATACAAACCTAACAGATCACTCAGATCTTTAGGATCATATAAACTAGAAGTTCCAAGAGTTCAGTCAAAGCAGGGTGAATCGGCTTTTAGCCACTACGCCCCTCGCTGCTGGAATCAGCTTCCAGAAATGATCAGATGTGCTCCAACATTAGGCACATTCAAATCAAGACTGAAAACACATCTGTTTAGCTGTGCCTTTACTGAATGAGCACTGTGCTGCGTCCGACAGATTGCACTATCATGTTTTTCTCTTCTTCTTCATTCTTTTATATCACATTTTACCTGTTTTTATGTTTTGTTTTGTTTTTATGCATTTTTATTATTTGTTTTTATTTTATTTTTATTTTTTTTTTTTTACTTGTTTCTTTTATTCTTGTTTATGTAAAGCACTTTGAATTGCCATTGTGTATGAAATGTGCTATATAAATAAACTTGCCTTGCCTTGCCTTGCCTTGCCTATTGATATAACTGTTACTGTACCATCATCATACAACATCACTTTCATAATTAATAACAGCAACATCAACAACAACCACAACAATAATAATAATAATAATAATAATAATAATAATAATAATAATAATAATAATAATAATTATTATTATTATTATTATTATTATTATTATTATTATTATTCATTTTCCTTCACCCTGGTCTCTATTTTAGAGGTCACCACAGCGGAATGAACTGCCAACTATTCCAGTATATGTTTTATGAAGCGTAAAACTGCCAACTGGCCCAACCAGGACTCGAACCAGCGACCTTCTTGCTGTGAGATGACAGTGCTAAAGACTAAGCCACTATGACACCCATTATATATATATATTTTTTTATGCAAATACTTTTTAAATACAACCAAACCATAATTATTCTAAAAATCATTACTATATATTTACATTCAAGTTTTTAAAATTTCCATTAATGTGTTTACAGTATGTTCTATGTTTTGCACTCTAGCATAAAAATATGCACCGAGTTCAAAGAAACAAGCGATAAACTCAGCACAACCTTACATTGCTCAGTCGTGAGTTGTTGCATTTTTCCAATTCCTGCTAAGCTTGCATTTTGATAACATGCATGAATTTCATTACAGCCAACTCTACGAAAGCCTATTGCGTGAATGGAAAAATTTGACGTTTAGCGAATGTCAAATGTTTTATTAATAGCCCGTGGGGTAAACTGCTAATGTAGGCTTACACCAAACATCAAATATATATTAAAGAGCCTAAAGACACGGGGCGTCGCATTTTTACTGAGAAGATGTGTTTGTTTTTTTGTGGATCTCTAGGCTATACAGGATCGCTTCAGCTTCAAAGGAAAGGATGAAATGGATGTTTTTTTTTTTTTGTTCTTGTTGGGGTAGACAGAGCACTTGTATTCCAAGCAGTGCTTTGACACAACGTGACACGCAGGCATAACAACCATATAAATCAGTTTGAGATAACATATTTTGCCATATATAATAACAATGATCTCCCCACCTGTAGGCTTCGCCACTTGCTTTCAACACAAACCCAGCAAGAAAGATCTATTTCCATTTACTTCTCCTAGCCGGAGACATCAAAAGCAACGCTTTGCCTGTCATATGGTGATCTAATTAATCTGACAGTTAATTAAGGGACAGTCATATTTCAGGATGCCAGGACACATAGTAGCTGGAGGAGAGAAATGCGCATTGGTCTGCAGGAGGCATCCAGAAAATGTGCACAATAATTCAATACTCCTGAAAATGATAATTGATCCAGTCGTAGGCTTTGCAATATCCTGGATCTTTCTGAAGGGTGAATGGGGCTTTGGACTGAAGCTGTGTGGAGTCTGAGAAGCGTTGGGTCTGTCATGATGATAATGTTTTAATGGACTGTCTGGGGTAAAGTGAGGTACACACTAAACACTTTTTTCATTTATTCATTCATTCATTTCCTTTCAGCTTAGTCCCTTATTTATTAGGGGTCACCACAGTGGAATGAACCACCAACACAGCTTTTCATTAATTTCGAATGACGATTTGATTGATATGTGTATCGGAGGTCAGCAAGTGAGAGTTGTAGAGGTAAACAAAGTATAGAGGACAACAAAGTCTTGCAAATATTTTTTTTGTATAAAATAATTTGTTTAAATATGCGTTTTTTCCTGTGAAATTGAAATATATTATATATTTTGTTTAATTTATATTGTAGTGTTCAATTAATGTATCAGATATTAATTCATGAATAAAAGTTAAACGCGAACAATGAA